ACAAAAATGGATGTAGCTTTGATTTTACAATTCTCCATCATTCTTAGCATTCTCATCATCTGCACAACACACGTAGGCCATGGCTTTCAAACGTCTCCCACAAATGAAATCGATAGACTTGCATTGTTGGCCTTCAAGGATCACATAGAGGAAGATCCACTGGGAGTTTTGAGTTCTTGGAATGAGTTTCTCCATTTTTGCAATTGGAGAGGGGTTTCATGTAGCTAAAGACACCAAGGAAGACTCACTGTCTTGAATATAGGCGGGCAGAAGTTGGTTGGCTCAATTCCTTCTCATTTTGGGAATCTATCGTTTCTATGGCAAATCAACCTAAGCTACAATAACTTCAAAGGAGGCATTCCAAAAGAGATTGGCTAGTTATTTTAACTGGGATAACTCAATGTGAAAAACAATGCCTTACAAGGGCAAATTCCTAGCAATTTAGTATTTTGCTCAGAGATGTGAGTCATTAATTTCACCAATAATAACCTTATAGGTGAAATCCCCAGAGAATCCGAAACCTATAAAAAAGTCTTATCCGATTTCAGGTCCACTCAAATCAATTAATAGGAAGTATACCACAATGGTTGGGGAATTTATCGTCACTTGTTAAATTATCCTTGGGAAGTAATCATTTCCATGGGAGCATTCCTGCTGAGCTTGGAAGACTTGGAAAATTGCAAACATTGGAACTTGCTGATAGCAACTTATCCAAAAGTGTTCCCCTTTCTACATTTAATCTTTCATCACTCACTTTGCTATCAATTGCTATGAACCGATTATATGGTGAAATCCCATCCAATGTTGGCTTTACGCTTCCTAGTCTCCAACAACTTGGATTTGCCATCTACTATTTTTATGGACAGATACCAACTTCCCTACTTAATATGTCAAAGCTAATACTAGTGAGTTTATCATTGAACAATTTGAATGGAGTCATACCTCCAAACTTTGGAAGCCTAAGGAATCTTCAAAGACTAGAGCTTGGTGGCAATCAATTGGAAGCTCCTAAAAATGAGGGTTTAGGTTTCCTAACTTCTTTAACCAATTGCAGCAACCTCAAAGCATTGCATTTGGGCGGCAACAATTTGAAAGGTGAATTGCCTACTTCAATTGCTAATCTTTCAACAAAGCTTGAGGATTTGTGGATGGGTCAAAGTCATATTTCAAGTAAAATTCCTAAGGATATTGGGAACTTGGTCAGCTTAACCTTGTTGAGTTTTAGTGAAAACTTTATAACAGGTGAAATTCCTTTTAGTATTGGCCGACTAGACAAGTTATCTAGACTTTATCTATATAGAAATAGAATTTCAGGTCTCATCCCATCCTCACTTGGAAATATCACCCAGTTGCAAGAATTGTCTTTGTATGACAACAATTTGAGTGGCATAATTCCTCCTAGTTTGGGAAATTGTTCCCAACTTGAATTAGTTCTTCTTGACAATAATCACTTGTTTGGAATCATACCAAAGCAACTCTTGAGCATATCTTCAATGATTGACCTCAACACATCAAGGAATTCGTTTATGGGAGAGTTGCCTTTAGATGTGGGTAGCATGACCAACCTATGGGGCTTTTCTATTTCACACAATAGACTGTCAAAAGGAATTCCAAGCACCTTGGGAAAATGTTTGATGCTAGTAAGCCTTCAGATGCAAGAAAACTTCTTTGAAAGAAGCATTCCACCTTCATTTAGTACTTTGAAAAAAGCCTTAAAGACCTTGATCTCTCTAGTAACAATTTGTCAGGCCAAATTCCAAAATATCTCCAAAACTTCACTCTATTGCAAAACTTGAATGTGTCCTTCAATAACTTTGAAGGGGAGGTGCCAATTGGAGGGATCTTTAGAAATGCAAGCTTTATTTCAGTTAATGAAAATCAAAGGCTTTGTGGAGGTATTCCGCAATTAGGACTTCCTCTATGTGAGATTCAAGGCATGAAAAAGAAAGGGAAGTTTCAACATTTAAAGGTGGTGATTTCAATAATTGCTTCTTGCTCATTATTCTTGATTGTAGTACTTGCTATTTTTTCATATAGAAAGAAATTCAAAAGGGAAGGTTCTCCTACTGAGCAAAAGAAAGAACTTTTTCCACAGATTTCTTATGCAAAGCTAAGTCAGGTAGTTAGTTAGTTCTCATCATCAAATTTGGTAGGCAAGGGAAGTTTTGGCTTTGTCTATAAAGGAATTCTAGCTGCAAATGGAATGATAGTCACAATCAAGGTACTAAATCTTAAACAAAAAGGGGTTACTAAGAGTTTCTTGGCTGAATATGAAGGATTAAGCAACATTCAACATCAAAATTTAATAAAAATCATAACTGTTTGTTCTAGTATAGATTTTAAAGGAAGTGATTTCAAAGCTATTGTTTATGAGCTCATGAAGGATGGAAGTTTAGAAGAGTGATTGCATCTACATGAAAATCAAGTAGGAGTAGGAGAATTTAGCTTCATCCAAAGACTGAATATAGCCATTGATGTTGCATTTGCACTTAAATATCTCCACTACTATTGCCAACCAGCTATAGTTCATGAAGGTCATAAGCCAAGCAATGTTCTACTACTGATCATGACATGGTTGCACATGTGGGTGACTTTGGGCTATCAAGAATATTCCGAAACGAAAGTAGTCATAGCAATGCTTCCAGAGAACAGTACAATTCCATTGGAATAAAAGGAATAGTTGGTTATATTCCCCCAGGTAAATATTTCTTAGTTGTATTAAAAAAATTTTCATTGTTAATTCGCTACTATATTGGATTTACCCTTATGCAATCATGTGTACCTATTAACACAGTGCACAAACAAAATGTAGAATATGGCATTGGTAGCAAGGCATCCATGCAAGGAGATGTATATAGTTTTGGGATTATATTGTTAGAGATGATTATAGGAAAGCGACCAACTAATCCTATGTTCAATGATGGTTTCAACATTCATCAATTCACCAAAGCTGCATTGCCAGAGGGAGTGATATAGATTCTTGAACCCTTGTTATTACAAGAAGTACAAGTGACAAATAATAGAGGTATTGAACATTCTAGGGCAAGGAACAACATGGGAAGAAGAACGGGTGTTTTGGAAAGCTTGTCGGAAGTTGCAAGAGTGGGAGTCTTCTGCTCAATGGAGTCTCCAAATGAGAGAACGGAGATGAAACAAGTTGTTGCAAAACTATCTGCCATTAAACACAAGTTTCTTGGTGCTAGGAATTGATTCAACGTTGACATGACCCTTGTTGTTTGTCTTTCTTTTTTCTTCTTCTTCTTCTTTTTTTTTTTTTTTTCTTTTTTCATTGAAATAAACTTCAGCCCTTTTCATGAGAGGGCTAGGGCCCTTTTCACTCGCCTTTTATATCATTGCTAGCTTTATGGGCTTTCGTGATTAGTATATCAGAAACCTCATACTCTTCTTTTATCTAAAAATCATTATTAAGGTAAATAAAATAATTATAAAAGAAGTATTATACTAACAAAGGCCCGTTAGTCACTTGTTAGATAATTGGCAAGAATTTATCATAAAAAAAAAAATTTATTGGCAAGAAAGCATTTCTTTCACTTCTATAATTGAGATTTGAACCCTCATTCCCCCACTTCATCTCTTTCCCTCATAAGAGTTTTGATAAGTTAGTTTGTCCTATAAAAAATAATGATAATATTATTATTGTTATTATATGCAAGTGACTACACCCTGCTATCCAACGTTTTACTTTTGGTGGCTGCAAATTTTACCGTAAATGTAAATCATATAAAGTGAAAATAGATAAATTTTTTTCAAAAAATTAAAATTTCATTGGTCAATAAATAAAGAAATGTACGCGTTAGAGACCAATCTATATGGTGTAATTTGAACAGAGGTAATTTTTCAGGGGGGAGCGGCCACAAGCAAGTGAGCAACATCCCTTTATTTTTTTAGGCCCAATAATAAACTATATAACAATTCATAGTCTTCCCTTTGCCAACTCCTAACTCATTTCAGTATTCATTTTCTTTTTTCTTTTTCTTTTTTTTTTTTTTTGTTAAAAAGGAAAAAATATTTCGAAGGAAACCTATTTCATGGATCTGCAGTCCTCAGTAGGGCGCTTTTGGGCGGTCTTACTTATTCTCCTTTCTCTACCTTTTTCGGCTTTTCCCATATAAGCCAACTATTGGGGCGGCCCTTCTTTAAAGCCCGCTTCAGCAGAAAATATTTTTTTAGTACTATTTATTTATTTTTTGTTTTGATATTTACAGACCTGACCTTTAGATGTAGAAAATTAAGTTGATAAAACTACTCTCCAATTTTAAAAAAATTATTATTTTTTAACTATTAATTTATTTTAAATTAATTATTATTTTTTATTTTTTACGGTAGTTAAAAAAGTTTTCTTATTTTAATTTTATTTACTTTAATTAATCATCCTATCATAAAAAATTTATTTTTATTTTTA